GCTTCTTTATCCAACCATCTATCGTAGGACACTTTGGTTGCTTCCATGTCCTGGCCACTGTGAATAATGCTGCTATGAACATCGGTGTGCAAATATCTTTTCGAATTGCTGGATCATATGGTAGATAAATCGTACTTTTTTGAGGAACTTCCATACTGTTTTCCATAGTGGCTGTACCAATTTTCAGTCCCAACAGCAGTGTATGATGGTTCCTTTTTCTCCGCTTCCTCTCCAACATTTGTTATTACCTGTCCTGTTGATTATAGCTATTCTAACAGGTGTGAAATGGTATCTTATTGTGTGTGTGTTTTTTAAAGCCTACAGTACCCGATATTCCAAAGAGGCCTCCCATCCAAGTACTAACCAGGCCTGAACCTACTTAGCTTCCGAGATCAGATGAAATTTGGTGCCTTCAGGGTGGCATGGGCATAGACCTCATTATGGTTTTGATCTGCACTTCCCTAATAGCTAGCGAAGTTGAGCATCATTTCAAATATATGTTGTCCATTTGTGTGTCCTCTAGGGAGAAGTGTCTGTTCAGTTCCTCTGCCCATTTTTTGATTGGATCATTTGTTTTTTTGTTGTTATTGAATTGTAGGAGTTCTTTGTAAATTTTGGATATTAGGCCCGTATCAGAGGCATTGCTTGTAAATACATTATCTCTTTACCTTGTTGACGGTTTCTTTTGCTGAGCAGAGGCTTTTTAGTTTGATGTAGTCCCATTCATTTATTTTAGCTTTTACTTCTTTTGCTTTAGAGGTCAAATTCATAAAACCTCTTTATGTCCAAGGTCCTTAAGATTAGTTCCTATGTTTTCTTCTATGCATTTTATTGTTTCAGGTGTTGTATTCAGGTCCCTGATCCATTTTGAGTTAGTTTTGGTATATGGTAATAAACAGCAGTCTAGTTTCATTCTTTTGCATACGGCTTTCCGTTTTCCTAGCACCATTTATTGAAGAGGCTTTCCTTTCTCCACTGTATGTTTTTGGCTTTTTTGTCGAAATTTATTTGTCCATATAAATATGGGTTTACTTCTGGACTCTCGATTCTGTTCCACTGGTCTGTGTGTCTGTTTTTTCTGCTAATACCATGCTGTTTTGATTGCTGTCACTTTGTAGTATAATGTGAAGTCGGGCAGAGTGATGCCTTCAGCCTCGTTCTTTTTTCTCAGGATGGCTTTGGCAATTCAGGGTCTTTTGTGCTTCCATACAAATCTGATGATTTTTTGTTCTATTTCTTTAAAATGTGCCGATGGGATTTTGATGGGGATTGCATTAAATCTGTATAATGATTTAAGTAAATGGTCATTTTAACTATGTTGATTCTCCCGTTCCAAGCACACGGTTCTTTTTTAGGGTTTTAATATCCTTAGTGAAGTATTCCTATTGTTCACTGATTTTATTTACAACTTCTTTGAGCTGTCAGAATTTTCTTGCATGTCACTGATTTTTTTTCAGAAGTGCAATCTCGAATTCTCTGTCATTTAAGTCATATATTTCTATCCCTTTAAGCTGATTTTCTGGAGATTTTTCACTTTCTTTCTGAATTGCCTTGTCACCTTGGTGTTCATGTTGTT